CTACAGTCTATTTTTACTCATCTAATCTTATTCTTCCACTGTCACCTCTTAATAGGAGACAACCAAGTCTAAATCTCTAATGTATATTTCTCACCCAGACCCAGGACTATATCTCTGAATCTCTACTAAAAGTTTCATCTAAGATGATGTCTTAGCATCACCTCAAACTCACACTGCTGTACTTCGAGATTGCAAGATTTTATTGTGTGGATACACTCTCTATTGGTGCAGGATACATGTTCGTTCAGTTTTTAGTCAGCATGGGTTTCTATGGTTTTAAAAAAATATTTATCTGTTGACTAGACAGCTCTACAAATATGCCTCCTCTGAGTTTAAGTAGACGGGCTTCTCAGATGACAAACATAAAGGCCATCACTGGGTCCCCCTTACTCATCTAAAATCTTTTGGAATAAAGTTTCTAAACCATTTTTGTATATTGTAGATTCCTTTGGCACTCTGCTGAAGCTTATGGATTCCTTAGAATAATATTTTAAATGCACGAAACAATATAATAGGGTTCCAGAGGAAAGCAAATATACTGAAACAGTTATCAAATATACTACAATGCATGTATGTATGCATATGTATATGCATATATTACATATGTGAATGTACATATATGCATGCATGTGCATAATATATACACACAAATATGTGTGTGTGTGTATATATATATGTGTGTGTGTGTGTGTGTATACACACACACACATATGAAACTCATAGATGCTAAGTTAAGAACTTACCCTTTTAGAGTATGTACTACCCAACATTTAATACAGTGGCCATCACATAGCAAGATAAGCACTTAATAAGTGCTTGTTGATTGATAATTGTTTAGCCTTTAAGAGCTCAAGGTCATACTAAAGGGTTTGTGGTGTAGTGGAAAGAGTATTGGACCTATATTCAAATCTTGGTTCTGCTACTTGTTTCATCATCTCTCCAAACCTGGGAATTGAGGTCCTCATCTGTAAAATGAGTGGGTTGGAGTAGATGACCATGTCATCCCCTTGCTCAAAAACCTCTATCGCCTGCTCCTGTCCCCATGGTACAGCTTAAAAATTTATGAGTATGAGTTTTTAATCTCCCAATTATGAACCATCTAGGTAGCAGTCTCTCAGTTTTAACTTTGGCATCGTTCTGCAAAACATTCAGGATTTGGGACAAAACCCTGTCAAACTCCTTTCTATCCATTGGGGTTTTGTGCTTATCCTGAAGGAGGTGATAAACTCAGATTTCTACAAATTTTTATATCATCTGCAAGTGTCAGATTTTTACAGTTATTATTAAGAAACACTGTTGAGCAGCTACTATGTGCAAAGCACTCAGTATACATTACAAAGAACCATGACAGTGCCTGGGCCTGTAAGAGTAGAGATCACTATACATTACCGGGTGTAGAGTCTCCTACTGGGCTAGTAAGTCTACTGCAAAACATCATGGCTGATGAGAGTGGGGAGGAAGCAGAAATCCTCTTCTCTCTCTCCAGAAGTGAAGTCATTCCCTTTCAAAGTCTGGGTTTTCTCTTGACCGTTGGCTCTTAGCTGGACTGTAGAGTTAGCAAGGTAGGGTTTTTTTTTTAAACGCCACCGAGATTATGGCCAGTGGCAGTTGCTTCTTCCAGTTTAATCAAGAAATATTTTCCCAGTTAGTAAAGGATTATAGGACATAGGTGAATCTTTACACTTAATATCTCTATGTGTGCAGTTTGCTTTCTGTTATTACATCCTGAGCCTCGGGTGAACCTAAATCCCCCCCTCCTCCACTGCATGTAAATGGCCAGCTTGCCATTGCTTCTATCAAATAATATATATTTGAGAGATAAAAAGCATTTCTATGCATCCTGCTCCCTGAGAACATATTCTATTCCAAAGTCAAACCTTGTGCATTCTTATCACCCTCATTAGTCAAAACTGGGTCTTCACTCTCTAGTCATCATGCTGGGGTAAAGAGGCTGCTCTAAAATGAATAACATTTTCAACATTTAACATTTGGTCCCACTCCCCAGGGAACTTTACCCGTCATATTCTCTTTATTCCCACCCCCCCAAAAAATCTAGCAAGGGGACCAAACTATTCTTTGGTAAAAAGCAATTATTTGAACAATTTGGTGAGAAATTTAGTAGAGGAGTCTACTTAGAGTAGAATATTATTACATTTACAAACTGTTGTGTGACATAAGATTCTGTTTGTAAAAAGTATATGGAGCTAGCTTTATTCTTTGTTCACTCTTTGCTTTGGAGTGGTAACTTGATCTCTTTGGGCTTTTAATTCCATTATAATTACTCTTGGGAGAATTGTCTTTATACTTTGGTCTTGAATTGGCTAGTCATATCTTCATGTTATGTGTTTTGTCTTTGCCTACTCTTGCCAAGAGGTAAAGATGATCCTGTGAACAATGGTGTGTTACCATTTGATTTAGAAGTAGATACAGAACTCAATTCAGATATCCTTAAGTGCTAGACCCTGGAGATTTCAAAAATGGAGTAAGATATGTTTTCTACCTTCAAGGTGTTTACCATCGTGTAAGGGAGAAGACATGTACACACATGACTCTAATACACATTAGAATATGATAAATATATGGGAGAGATCCAAAAAGAATAGCTATGAAAAAACAAAGATGAAGGAGATGCTTAATGAAGATGACATCTGAGGTGGATTTTGGGGATCGTAACAAGGCAAGGAGTGATCGCAGCAAGACAAAGAATGGGGTGAAGGGTGGGAATCTCTCCAAGACATCAAAGACTAGACTGTATGAGCATGAGAAAGATGAAGAACACTAGAGTATGTTAACTGGAGTAACATTAGGTTAGACTGGAAAGGTTGGTTGAAATCCTATTGTGTAAAGCCTAGAACACTAGGCAAAAGAACTTGAAACCTGAGCTAACAGGTTTCCCACATTTGTTTATTTATATCGAAGCCCTATCTATTAAAACTTAAGGAACTATAGATGAACAGTGTTAGTTTTAAGTCAGGATTAACTAATTTTTTAAAAATCTCTAAGCCTAATTTTTTTTTTACACAGTTGGGGTTAAGTGACTTGCCCAGGGTCACACAGCTAGTAAGTGTCAAGTGTTTGGTCTGAGGTCAGCTTTGAACTCAGGTCCTGACTTCGGTGCTCTATCCACTGCACCACCTAGCTGCCCCTAAGCCTAATAATTTGAAAAGAAGATAATTGCTTATAAGCTTTTTGTAAAGTATAGTAAAGCATTATTTTTTTAGTATTATGTAAATTCACAATTTATGATTGGGGTTTGATAAACAATTTATTGATGTAGAGAAGATTCCGAAGAGCATTTGAAAATATTCAAAAGCAATTTGTTCTCTGAAATATGTAAATTTGAATGTTTTTTGGTTGTATCCATAACAACTTATACTGGTCCTTCTGATTAATTACCTGAGATCAGGGCATGTCAGACCAGGCTTTATTAATCTGCTTCATATTTCAATACGTATAGATAAACCTTCTCTAATATTGGGCAATAATAAAAGGGAGTTACTTCCATGGGAACGATTGCCTGAGTGATGTCAGAGCAGGTTTCTAAAATAAACATTAGATAGAATTTGGTACTATGATTTTAAAGTGGTAACATCATTGATGCAAAGTTATAGGAATGAATAATGAAAAAACAGGTATTATATATTTACTACTTGTTTTAAGCACTGAAGATAGAATAGAAAAGGTCTCTAGGAGCTCACATTCTAATGGTGAACCTGTATATATGGAAGGTCCCATGGTTCTCAAGGTGCAAAGCAGAAAGGAATGCCTCTTTTTTAATGTCATCTCCACTGATAAAATTATATCCATTTCTGATGTTGAAGAATTTGACGATGCCAGAGAGTTTTGTGGCGAGAACTTTTTGTTTTTCTGGGAATGTTGGTATACTTAAAATTAATGAAAGACATCTTTTAAAATATTTTGCTACTCTTTCTTTTTGTTAACTTAGCTAAATTGACATTTTGGGAATTTATATGATTAGTCTGTGAAATAGAGATAGTTTTATCGGAATTACATAGTTTTCCTGCAGTTGCTCTTAATGTCAATAGTGACGTAATAAAGGATTGAACACGTTTTCCTATCTTTAACGTACTGCAAATATTTTCAGTCTTAATTAACCGCCTAGGGACCCAGCAGTTTTGGTTTTAGGCACTGCACAAAGAGATGTAGTATCCTGGTGTATGGTTTATAGTTCCTTTTAAAACCAGAATAACTAATTAAAATATGATTTTTCTGACCTCGGGAAAGTTATCAAGAGGGGAATAATCTTGAACCTTTATGGTGAAAAATTTTATAATATTGATAATGCTTTCTGTGTGTTTTTTAAGTGTCAGTTTTTATATGAGATATCCAAAATGCATTTCAGAGCTCAGTGCTTTTCTTTCACTAGGTTGAAGAAAGTTATGCCTTGAAATTATTGGCCTTTTTGTTTCCTCAGGTCTTGTGCTTGGTCAAATGTGTGCTGTTAAATTTGACCTCCATCTAAATTGGTTTGTCTCTTAAAACTTATTGTGGGTGACTCTCAGCTCATCACAGCTTCATTAGGGTTGAAGCATTTTAAAGAGTATAATGAATGGAAGTGGAATATTTCTTGTTATTGAGTGATTGTATTGCATTAGTTTAGGCAAGTGAGTAGGAGTTGTTAGCGAGGAGGGTTGTTGTTGCTTATATACACATCATAATATTCTTACATCTATCACAGTGTTTAGATGGGGAAATAGTACTGTTTTGTGGACTCTCATTTCCTTCTTGATGAAATATAGTTATAATGTATGTGCTTTATGGAAAAAATAAATAAAATGTAACTTCTGAGTAATTCGAAGGATTTGTATTATTTCCACTTCATACTTACACAACCTATCTTAGGCATACTTCTTTTTTTTTTTTTAAGAAATTGAACAATAATTTTGGCTTACTCTTATCAGAAGTATCAATTATAAATAACTAGTTCATAATCATTTATGAATAAATTATCTTATGTTTTTTTCCCTTTTTAAACCTAGATAATATATTTGGAGAAATCCCCAGAAGATACCTATAGGATGCTGTTGGTTGGAAACATATCCTATGTTCCTTTCAGGTGAGTATGAGAAGTTTTGGAATCATTTATGCCTTTTGATTTTATATAATTCTCATTTCTTAGATATACCTCCTTTTCCATTTTCACCTTCCTTCTGCTTGCATACACTTTTCGTTGTAAACAATTAAAAAGTATAAGTGAAATCAGCTAGCCCAGGAACCATATCCAGAAGTATTTACAATATTTCACAACCATTTCCACCACTTTTCCAAGAAAAGAAAAATGTGTTACCTCATCTTAGCTCCAATTCCAAGATTAATCATTAGCAAATTTGAGAACTTTACTTATAAGTTTAGCTGTATCGAATTAGGCCTATTCATGGACCTTGTGTACTCACCCATCATCCATAGCACATTGAAAATACTTGATGTTTGTTTTTAAGAGAGGAGTTGGTAAATATGCATGGAGGTATGTACATTCATGACATATGTGCAAAAGAGCAACCAGTAACTGGAAAGAAGGCTTGTTGAAGCAACTGAGCTATCATGCATGGAGTGCTGATTGAAGGCAAGTTATAGATTTAATTCTTATGTTAGTCTATTAGTTTTTCCATATACAATGACCTTTGCTGGTAAAAATCATCCTGTGCACATGGGCAGGTGATCTCCAATTTATGTGTACCATGTAAAGAAGAAGCAAGGGAAGGAATTGGATAGGATATGTTGCTAAATTATTGGCTGCTACTGGAAAAACTATTGAATCATACTTTCTATAGTTGGTATGTGAGTAATGTCTTCCTTGTGTATAAATAACATTAGCTTAAGTTCAAAAAATTCGTTATAAAACAGCAGACACATTTAATAGGCTACTTTCTACTAGTGCCGTAGTTATTATGGTAAACAACTTGTCTAGCTTTATAGAAAGTTAATTTTCAAAAACATTATCCATTTTAATGTGTTTACTGGCGTACTCAAACCTTATTTTGAACAAATGTTGATTAATAATATCTTAGCTATTTGGTAAGATAGTTGTACAAAATAATTATTTCATCTAGATGCAAAATAGTGAAAGAAATTTTGAAAATTAGGCATCTGCTTTTGGAAGTATCCATCCTGTGTAGTTTCTTAAGTCATTCTCCACTGCCTCATTGAGGCATGGAGATGGCATTGGATTCTTGAAGGCTATATCCATGAAGCATCCGCTCTAGAACCAAAGTTCTTTCCCCCCCCCCAATTTTATTAATATATTGATTTATCAACAATCACTTCCATATGCTTTTGAGTTGAAAATTTTCTCCCCCTTCCTCCCCCCCCCACCCTCCCCAAGATGGCACACAATCTGATATAGGTAGAACCGAAGTTCTTAAACTGAAGTATGAAGAGTCCATGTATAGATTTCAGGATATCCAGAACTTGAATTGGGAAAAAAAAATACATTTTCATTTTCACTAACCTCTGACTGACAGTTAACATATCCTTCTATTATAAATGTAGGCAGCTAACATTTTTCAGAATTTGGGTCCACAGGCTTCATGAAACTGCCCAAAGGGTCCACAACACAGAAAAATGTTAAGAACTCCTGCTTCAGAAGGTTCTATCTAGCTGGAAAGGCTTTGAATGGGAGCCCTACAACAGACTATATATCTGCCCCATCACCCAAGGAACCAGTGTCACTAACCTTAGAACAACTAATAACTAAGTTAAACACAGTTTGGTGAATTTTGAACCATTATAACGAAATCTGTCCTTTTGGAGTGGAGTTTTATAACATTTCTAGACATGAAATTCCTAACCTGCAAGAATTGGAGATAGAATAGGCTACAATACAAAACCTGGCCTGTATTTTGAATTAAGTCAGCAGAAATGATTTAAACTCAATAGGAAAAAAGAAGGAAAATATCATGGATTACGAAGTCTGAGTTGGGAAGGGACAAGAGAAGAGTTGAGACCTAAGTGATGAATTGTTTGTACAGAGATTAACTCTCTTCCTCTTCTACATTGCAAAGAACATATAGGCTGATGGATGATGTCATTTAGGAGGGAGGCTGTTGCCCAAACGAGAACCAGAAAAATGTTATATTATTCATCAGTGAGAACTTGTGATCCAATAAACAAGATTACTGTTGCTGTTGTTTTACATTGCTCTTCTTTACAATGTTTTTTGTGTTAATGGGCTTCACTAGGAACACCTATGGATCCTGAAAAATGAACACATGTATGATTTGCTTAAATCCTGTGAAGCACAGTTGAACATGGGGAAAAGATTTAGGACTAACAATAAGAATAGCTAATGGAAACCAAGTGAAAGAAGAATTTTTTGGCACAGAGTTAGAAAATCATATCTTTCCCGTAACAGTGTCCCAGCAGAACTGAGTATTCAGGCATTATGCTCAAGAAAAGAACTATTTAGAAAAATTCAGTTTTCCCGGGCAATTTGAATCTCTCTTATCACAGCCACCAGGAAAGTAGTTTTTCTAAAATGAAATATAATAAAATTTCATTAGCTTGAATTAATTGGAAGGAGGGTCAATCTGAATGAATGAAAAATCTAAATGGAAAACTATTGTAAAAGAAAGAACATTGTTATTTCTTTTAAGTACTTCTAAATCTAGCACACTTTTTGAAATTAGAGGTCCTGATAGGTCTTTGAAGAATGGACTTGTTATTTGCAGATAAGAGCTTCCATTTACATATGCTTTTATACTACTGTTCCCACCTCCACTCCCATTAGACAATGGAATTTTCCACTAAAGTAAATTTTTCCAATAACTTAATTTGGCCCACTTATAACGAATCATTTTAAAAAACCATTGTTGATAGAAAATAGTTTCCTGCATTGTTAAATAGCAAAGCATACAGAATATAATTTAACCTTTTCTTGATATTTAACAGTGATGCTGAAATGAATTAGATGATCTCCAAATTCCTTTCCAGTTCTAATATTCTATAATTCTTTTTTTAAACTGGACCTATGGTTTAGATTACTACATCCATAGAAAATATGAAGATAAACTTTGGTTCAGCAAAGGCCAAATTATAACATTTTAAACTAATCAAATCCAAATGAAGGAGATTTTATTGTATTTTCATTTAAGAATTTCTTAGTGGAGGTAACTGATAGCATTGTTTAGGATTACATTATAATTTGAAAGATAAGTCTAGAGAACTTTTGTTTTTAAATGACATGCAAAAATTATTAATAGTCTCCATGGACAGTTCAGACCTAAAGGTAATATTGCCGGTGTGCCTTATACTTGACCTTTGGGAATCCTTGAGTAGGCTAAGAGGATGTTAATAGTTAATTAAGGAAAGGGAGGTAAATGTTGGGATGGTAATAGCATCAAGGTTAAGGGCTCTGACTTAGGTTGATCAACCATTCTCACTAGTAGAATGCTCCTTGACTTACTCCTTGAGGATTGCAATATTTAACCCTAATCATCCCAAACTCCACTTCAGGTGTTGTTGAACTGGGGTCCATGGATTTGTTTATTTTTCAAAACATTTTGTAAATGTATTTCAGTGTAATGTGTTACTCTTGTGATCTTATGTTTTTTATTTTATGCATTTTAAAACATTCTGATAAGGAATCCAAAGGCTGATTTAAGGAAGTCCAGGAGTATGTTTGTATGTTTTCTCATCAATCAAATTTCAATATGTCTCTCAATTAATAAATTAAGCTCACATCCCACATCAGTTTCTCAGATATTATTTATCTAGTAATCTGGAGAAACATCCTTTCCCAATAATGGTTATTTAGTTTTATATATGTATATAAACTCTTTTCTATATTAAAAACTTTCATTTTCTGATTTTAAATATATTGAAACAATAAAATATACAATTTATTCACAAGGAAATCAATAGTAAAACAAAGGCATTGATAATTTAAAGCTTTTTTATCTGTGAGAAAACTCATAGCTGAGGCCACTTCATAACTTCTGTTTAATGGCAGATGACTTCCTTTCTTAAACACAGTCCCACCCCATTCAGTTTCTCTCTAAACTCACTTATGAATTAAAATTCTCTTTATACTGTTTCTTTATAAAATAAACTTTGAACAGTTCTCAGAAGAAATTTCCCCTTCTGTCAGTCTGTATTCTCCATAGTTTACCTCCTAGAGCAAAAGTTAAAAATATACAATTTCTCCCTGAATCCATAGAGAGAAGCACTTCATAGAATGATTATTATAATTGTATCTCCTGACTTCTATATTTTTAGACATTGTGAGTTTCTATAGCTTCTTTAAGAAAGGCTTTGAAACAGTTATTAAACAGTTTACATAGCACTTTACTTGAATTTAATCTGCGAGCCTGGTTTTATTAAAGGAAATTATATTATATATTTTTTTGAGGCCACTTTTTTGTGGCATGGGATGGGGGTAGAGAGGAATGATTTTTTTTTAATTTTTAAAATTAATTTGTCTTTAGTTTTCAGCATTTACTTCCACAAGATTTTGAGTGCCAAATTTTCTCCTAACTCTCCCCTCCCCATACGCCAAGACAACATGCATTCTGAATACCCGTTTCCCCAATCTGCCTTCCCTTCTCTCACAGCCCCCCCCCTTTTCTGTTACCCTCTTCCACTTCTATTTTCCCATGGGGCAGGATTGATTTCTATACCCCATTGCCTGTATAGCTTATTTCCCAGTTGCTGGTAAAAATTATTTTTAACATTCGTTCTTAAAACTCTGAGTTCCAAATTCTCTCCCTTCCCCCCTCCCTATCCACCCTCACTGAAAAGCAAGCTATACGACATAGGTTATACTTGTGTAGTCATGCAAAACACTTGAGAGGAATGCTCTTTAAAGAATTACAAATAGAATCCTCTTATAATTCCTAGAGGAGAATCTTCAACATCAGAAAAACCAACATTCACTCAAATCTGGTGATTTGGAGTGATGACAATAACTATCTAGTCTCCTTTCTTCTCAAGCTTCATAATCACTGACTTTCTCCATGCATTTCCTATTTGAAGGAGAGACACATATATGCAAGTGAGTCTAATAAAATCAAACCGCAATTGTCCTTTTCCTCGTTTGTTTAATGGTATTATATCACAGTATCCCAAACACCCTTGCAAATCTTCTGCCCTAAGGCTAGGAACAAGAATAAAAATTTAATTTGTTACAATGTTTAGTTTTTCAAGTAAGAAATATATAGCTCAAATCCAGTGTCTTTTTGTCTGCAGGATTGATAGCACCATGAATAATCCTGTTCTGTAGGGCATACAAATTGAAATAGATTTAAATAAAAGTTAATAGCAGCATTTTAAGCTAATTAGAATTTTTTATAATTTAGTGCTTTTAAGTTGGCAGAAATGCTGTATTATATGTGACCTCCATGTAGATTTTCTGAATGATGAGGGAAAATAATTGCTTCTTAGTCTATGTTCTGGTTAAATTTTAAATGGGTCTACTATCATGAGATAAGTATTGTACTTCAGCTTGAATTTAAAATACAGTTTGTAAACACCTTACTCCCCCAACACAACATTAACCTTATTTTCACAAATAATTCTGAGTTCTGAAAAAAGACATGTAATTTATATATTTGATTTTAAAATGTTTCTCTTTTAAAACGTAAGAGTAATTTGGCACCTGTAAAGTTAAAGAGAAAAACATGTTATCAGTAGTACAAATCATAACACCAATAATGATTGTCGTCTTTTCATTGAATAAGAGGAAAAGAAACTTTTTTTCTAGAAACAAGTTTTAGGATCTATACACATAGTACTATGGAGAGTAAGGGGTGCCCAAGCAGTAGCATGATATTACTTGGATCATCCAACAATGTTTTAGAAAAAAAAAAATCCCTCCCTCCCATCCTCATAGTTTGCTGTCAATATTTTTCACACACACACACACACACACACACACACACACAGACCCTAATTTCTTTTGGGATGAAATCTAGTTGATGTAAAAATTAAAGATGACTTATTTTAAAAAATCTAGTAATTATAAAGTTAAAAGTGATCCATATTTGGAGTTAAGACAAAAGAACTTAAGATCTCAGTAGTTAGAATTAATTTAAATACTATACTTGATTAATCAAATAGGATTATATTTTTGGATGTTAAATGAATAATATTTGATTTAAATTGATCTTTTTTGCTAAAAAACCCTTTTTATGAGCTCTTGTTTGATTCAGCTATCTTTAGATGGAATTATGAAAAAACTAGTGTTATTTATGAAAACTGAAATACTGATTCAAATATTTGTGGAATTGCAGGGATGCTTCGTATGGTAATTGCACTTTCTACTTAACACTACTTGACTGTTTCCAGGCAGTACATAAGGTAAGTGAATTAAATGATGCTATTTGCAGGGCTGTATTGGAACGTTAAAATCTAGTCAGCATTTTCAGGGGCATCATTTCTTTTGAGAGGTTACTATGATTTCACATATTCTAATTTCTGAGGAATATAATGTATCATATGATAGTTGGAATGGAATGGGGGATGAATTTAGGGGTAAGATTTTCATTTTGATGTTAAGCTTAGTGCTATTTAAATAGTAGTAGATGTCTTGCTTATTTTACTGATGCTTTTTGTTTTTATTTCATTCACAGTTATTTCAGGATACCCTCATTTTGAAAAGATTTCATGGAACCATTTGAACTAAATACCTCTTTTCACATCTAACTCTGCAGAGCTTATTCATAATATGCAAACCACTAGTCTTACACACAGAAAGAACACAAGAATTACATGTGCCAATTAGCTCCATGGTTCGCCCAATTTCTCAGCTGTCTGTTTTGGTCCCTGAGAGGTCAAGGGGTGCATGGGATAATTCTATGAAAACTTGGCCCAGTCTAGAACTGCAGATTTGATCCAAGTAGCAATAGTGGTTAGGGGTATGGCAGTTTTATACTCATGAAGATGATATAGGCACCTGGAATATTTTTCAGGTGATAAAATTTCAGGTGTTACAGATACCTTGATAAAGACCTTTTATTTTACATGAGAAAAAAAATTGATAACTTGTAATTACTTCCATATTAGTGTAAAACTTTGTTGTTAAATGAGACACCATTAGAAGACAAACTATTAAATTGCTTGACTTCTCATCTTTCTCTTATAAAAATACCGTTACACGGAAAAATCTCTAACAAAATTTTTTTCAACTGTTTCTAAGTTATTTATCCTCTTTGACCTATAGATCTCACTACTGAGTTTATATCCTAAAGAAGTTAATGACAGTAAGAATAGATTCATATGATTAAAAATATTAATAGTAGCACAATTAGAATTGAAAAGCTGGAAATAATATATGTGGTCAACAGTTATGAAATGGCTGAGTAAACTGGTGTGTGGATGTATTGGAACATTAAAGAATGATAAATTTGAGGAATTCAGATACAGAAAGACAGAAACTGATGTAAAGTAGGAAGAACGTTATGTTCAATTACTACAATAGTGTAAGAAAAGGCAACTAAATTAGTCTGTTTCAGAAGTTCAAGAAATAGAAACGTAGCCACAGACTCCTTAAATCCTTCAGGATTTAGGCAGAAATGTAAAATACCAGTACTTTACACAAAAGAATGCAAAGACTGGATGTGCCAGTTGCCTCCACTGGCCACTGAGTTCCTTGTCTGTCTGTTATAGTCCCTGAGAGGTAAAGCAGCACATGGATAGTTTCAGGAAAACCTGTTCCTAGAAACTTCAGTTTAGACCTGAGTGGTATAGGAGCCAGGAGAAGTAAGTATTATGTTATACTCAGGAGAGTATAGAGAACTGGGGATTTTTTCCAAACGTACCCATGGACTCCAGGCACTTTTTGACTGGACAACAATGAATATGCTTCAGAAGGGGTTAGTGGAGTTCCTTTGTTTCTGTCTACCTTATCCTCTCGTACATCTCAAGTAAAATAGGATAGATACTATTGGTACCACATTGTCAAAGTTAAAGAACTTTCTTTTCTTTCTTCCTTCCTTTTAAAAATAAGTAAACAAATAACAAGTGATTCTTATTATCAATTGCAGTCATTCTGTTAGGTGGTTTAAACTTTTTAGGGAAGGTACTTCATGGGAAAGTTTATTCAGGTGTGTTCTAGCAATACACACATTTTGATACATCTGGGGTGTGTGTGTGTGTGTGTGTGTGTGTGTGTGTGTACTTGTATATGTATGCATACACACCCTTTCAAGCCCCCAGCTCAAAGTCAAAGACTATTCTTTTCAAACACCATTCCATATAATCAAATTCTGGTACAGCAGAAGAATTTCGTTAGTTAATTAAGTTATTTTAATATGACTCAGTTCTTTTTAAATTCCCACTGATTTTGGCATGTATGTTGTCTGCTTGTTGAACTTATAATTAAAGATCCATCAGGGTATAAGAAATACTTATTAAGATAAGTTATGTTAGTACTTATAGAATAATAATTAGAATGGTATATGGCTTATTTGTTGCTGTAATGAAAAACAGCAACTTTGTAAAAATCTTCATGGTGATTTCTCCCTATTCAGAGAGAAGAGTAATTAGGGTTTTTTTCCCCTTTAAGAGAAGATAATCCTCATATAGAGATTTTTAAAGTTGTAGAATTGTTAAATTCAGGCACTAGTTACTTCCATGTTACTGAAGATCCAGATGGATGCATTATGCCAGCAGTCCTTCCTATACACTTAGGGAATATCTTCATCTGGCCTCAGCCTGAAGCAAAAAGGCTGAGTTTAAAATAGCATTGGATGAAAGCCAGAGAATGTGTCTCCTCCTAATTGCAGCTGCAGAGAGCAGAAAAGATTTACAATTCTAGGCACACCCTAACACACCAGAGGGATGTGCTGCTTCTGTTAGGACAGCCAAGCCAGCGATCAAAGCTCACCTGTCTAAAAAGCAAATTTTGGTCAACTTTTCAGGGACACATCAATTCTCTACATCAAGGATACTTATATTTAGTAAATTAATGAGAAGGAATTTGGCAAGGATATGGTCTCAAAATTTGAGTTTAGAAATACATTTAGTGGCAGCTAGGTGGCACAGTGGATAGAGCACCGGCCCTGAAATCAGGAGGACCTGAGTTCAAATCCATCCTTAGACCAAACACTTGACACTTACTAGCTATGTGACCCTGGGCAAGTCACTTAACCCCAATTGCCTTTAAAAAAAAAAAAAGAAGAAATACATTTCCAGAATAGTAGAATTGGTCAGGGGAAAGTAGTTGATTTTTCAACTTATTAAGAAATACATATTTTTAAATATTTTGACTTTCAAAATTGGCTTATAATCAGTTATTGGTAAATTAATTTTAAAAATTGGTTTCCTTGGTACTCTTAGGTATTTTACTTTGTGCATTTAAAAATCATAATCCTGAGAAGGGGTCCATAGACTGCACCATACTGCCAAAGGAGTCCATGACACCAAAAAGGTTAAGAACCCCTGCTTATTCAGGTTGCACCTTTATAAATCCTATATGTTGATTAAAAATTCTTGTGTAAGTGCATTGAATACTAGTCTATTAATTAGTTCAGCCAGCTTGAAAAAAATTAAGCACTGGCAGTGTTTAACTCATCTTCTTTCTAGAAAATAAATACTATTTTTCTCATTTCACTATAGCAGCATGTCTGCTATAAAGGTTAGAGGACAGGATATTCACCTACATAAAGAATAGCGTCTACTTCTATTTTTAATGTTAATGTTGATTTGTGGGATTTCTTTTCAGTACACAGAACATTTGGTTTCTTAATTCAAGAATTTCTAAAATGAAAGTTCTTCAGATGTTATTTCTTTTACAGTCTATAAATTTCATTCAAAGGAGTATTAAGGAGTGTTACTGAAGGTTAAATTTCCCAATCTTTTTTTTTTTTAAACACATAAGGGTATTGTTAACCCACATGGTCTTGGTAGATTAGAATCACTCTGAAGTGGTTGCTAATTAGATTTACATTAATGGCACAAATTTTTAAAATAAAAATATAGGTCAAATAAAGTATAATAAAAACTGAGGCAATTAGACATTGCTGTAGTATAATAAATTCTGAGGAAGTTTGAAAGGCAGATTGGTGTAATGGATAGAGAGCTAGCCTTGAAGCCAGAAATAAGAGTCAAGTCATGACTCTGACATGCTGGCTGTGCAACCCTTATCTCTCAGTTCTTCAGGCAACTCTCAAAAACCTATACAATTGCAGAGAAGGTGCTGACCTGCATTGGTAGAGATAGCTTCCTCACCTGAGAATTTCTTATACTGATTAAATCACAGTCCACTCTCCATCCCTATAATAAATACGTACTGTTGCAACAAAGACTCCTCATGATGAAGGCATTTCAAGAAGCTACAGCTCACTTATTTTGAGTTATGTTTAATACAATATAATTATGCAACCATTGAGAATGCCTTTCAATTGCTATAACAGGAATAGATCTGTAATTATTTGCCTTTTAAAAAGTTTTTTTTTCATTTTAGGCAGTCCAGTATGGCTTCCTAAATTTTGAAAAATTTGACCTTGATGATTACGAGCATTATGAAGTAAGTCTACATGGTTTTTCTAATCCATTTCATATTTATCTGTGTGACTCCAAAAAGCTATTTGTTTCCATTGTTAACACATTTGTATTTATCTTGTTGAAAATTGGGAGGGAAGGAAGAAGTATAACATTTCCACATAACAATTATAAATGGCAATGTCCGTGATCTCAGGAGTACTTTTCTTTATATAAATCCAATATATAGAAGTCTAATCACATTAATTGGGAGTTGATTTTATTTCTATCACCAAAATATGATTCTTATGCAAAAGTTAAAGAGTATTCCTTTGAAGCTCATTGAGATGGTGCATTGAAATGTTTATATGCAGGTTCAGAATTAAAGAGAGTTTAGCAACAATCAGATGTAAAGCAGACACTGACAGTTACCAGCATCACATTGAAGCCAGTCAGAAATTGAGATAAAGCATATTTAAGGATTCTTGAATTGCTACCTGTGCTTTAACTCTAGAAGTAAAAATAACTCATGCAGTTATTATGCACAGTTGTGCATTATAGTTATCTGTATCTCTATCTTATGCGCCTCTTAAATTGTGAGTCTCATGAGGTCAAGAATATGTTTTATCTAAATGCCCCGCCTATTCCCTCCCAAGCAGTATTCTGCCCATAAGAGACATTCAGTAGAATTGAATTTCAGGGGCCAGATAAGATGGAGATTGTTTATACCCATTGATGACTGTGAAGAGTGGAATCGATCAACAGGCATTTATTAAGTATCTATTATGTGCCAGGCACTATGCTAAGAAGGTACAGTGACACACACTGCACAATTTCAGAGCCAAGTCTTGGAGTTATTGGTGATTTGGGGTGTGAGGGGCGTGATGACATGAAGATAACTTCAGGAGTTCCCAGAGCCAAATTAGAGCCAAGCTTCTGAAATGGCTTAACCCATTATCTCTTTCTTTTTTTTGGGGGGGGGTGAGGCAGTAAGAGTTAAGTGACTCACCCAGGGTCACACAGCTAGTGTCAAGTGTCTGAGGCCAGATTTGAACTCAGGTCCTCCTGAGGCTCTATCCACTGTGCCATCTAGCTGCCCCTCCTTTTAAAAAAATTTTTTTTAGTCTGTTATCTTAAATGATAGTTGTCAAATTTGTTGCAAAGTCAATAAGTTCAATACCACAATAATTGTTGTAGCACTAAGATGAAAAACACTATGGAAATAAGAGTTATGCTTATGTTTTCCCTTTTCCCCATACTCTGCCTTACGTCCGTTCCTGAGACTAACCATTCTTCCAGACACTCAGGCTCATAACCTCAGAAATCTTTAACTCTTGTTCTCTTACCATCATCAGTCTGTTGAAAAATCCAGTTGATTCTCATTTCTGAATATCCCAAGCATCTTCCTCCCACCTGCCCTTTCCAGTGCTACTGTTGCCACTACCAGAGTTCAAACCCTGATTTCCTTTTTTTTTTCATAACCTCAGAACCATTCTTCCTCCTCCGAATCAACCTACATCCTTTTCTGAGATGCTTTTTCTTTTTTCTTTTTTTGTTGTTGGGCAGTGGGGGTTAAGTGACTTGCCTGGGGTCATAGAGCTATGAGATGATTTTTCTAAAGAACAGTTCTAATCACTCACTCCCCTGTTACAGCAGTAGCTCTGAAATTTACTTTGTTGAAAAATGTCCCTGGTATTTCCTAGTTGGCTACTTGCCTCTTTCTCAGGAAGATGAAATTGAGTGTGAAGTCCCTTACAGGACCTCTACAAGAATGTAACATAGCTGACTTTCTGGAAAATTAGTTGGAGAATCAAAAGTTTAAGTAGCCATCTTCCATGTGGTTTTTTCACTCTTCAGAAAAAAAGTGATCTTCTTTCACTACTAATATCAGTGTCCTTAGATTCATTGGAGTTATCATAAAGTTTGAGATTCTGTGCATCACTAACACAGTGAATCACAGGTACCTTCCTGGCAGCTCATATCCACTTACTTCCTTTAAATTTATTCATGAGATGTGAATGATATTCTTCATGACTTGAAGAATTTGTACTAAGGTGTTTTAGGAAAAAATGAAAGCAGACCAATTCTTCATCGTCATGGTAAGAAAGTGACACTTTGGCAGTCTTGACACCCAAATGACAGTTTTCTTTCATCTCTATCTTGTGTGGTGCAAACACACTGAATTAGGAATCTAAGGACTTCTGTTCAAATCCATCTCTGCCATCTGTGTATCCTTGCATAAATTACATAACTCCCAAGCCGCAGTTTTCTCATCTCTAAAATAAGGAAGTTCAGTTACATGATGCCCTTCCAGTTCTATACCCTGTGGTCTTAATGATTAACTTAAAGCTGAATTCCAGACAAGCAAAAATTTAAAATTGCATTATAACAATCGAAGGTTGTGTATTTATACATAATGGAACAACCTGGTGAAATTCCTTATTATACTAAGGTACATTATTTCTGAATCATTTCCTGATTAGTAGACCGAATCAGCAAGTTATTGTTGTGAAGGAGTGGAAATACTGAATTCAACAAATATTTACTGAGTATCTATTATAATAGATAAGGCACTGTGCTAAGTGCTGTGGAGAAGATAAAGGTGAAAACCTAATCCTTCCCATTAAAGAGCTTATGTTCTGGTTTCCATCAAAGAGCTTATGTTATGGTTTGAAAAATCACTAACCTACTTGCTATTTTCTATATAAACATCTCCAGCTTCCTTGGCATCCCCTATGCCAATTCATTCTCCCTACTGCCATCTTGAGGAATTCCTACCTCCATTTAAGGCTCAGATCTAATGCTGCCTCCTACAAACATCTCTTCTAATCCTCTCAGTAGTTAGTGTGCTTCCTCTCTGCCATCTCAAATTACTTTGTACTAATTTACTTAACTACAAAAATATTCTTCCCTCTCCTCCTAGGAGAATGTAAGCCCTCTGAGGATAGCTGCTGTTTTAAATTTTGCCCCATTGCCTAGCAAAGTTCTTGGCACATTTGCTTAATAAATGCTTGTTAAATTAAAAACATGTGCTACAATTGAGTGACTTATGAGAAGTTTAAGCAAAGTTCACTGAAAACATGGAGGAATGAGTGATAGCTTTCTGTTGTGTGTGGTTTTGGGGTTTTTTTTGGTTTTGTTTTGTTTTTTGAGGGGAGAGTGAGAGACATCAAGGAAGGCTTCCTGGAAGAGATAGCCTTTGAATTAACTACAATTCTGTTGATCGTAAGGACCATTAGTAAAGCAGCCAAATGTATGTACCTAGAAGCAGAAGGTAAAGAAATCAGGGACCTGAGTAACTGAGGCCCTAATACTTGAAATACTTCTAGAGATAAGTAGATAGAGAGCAAATCTCGGAGTCAGGAAGACCTGAGTTCAAATCTTACCTCTGACACATAACTGGCTGAGAAGATGATAACCAGTATGAATAGACAGGTTTTTTTCATTGGGGTGGGGGCTATGGTAGTAAAACCAGTCACTATCCCTACATACAGTTCCTTTTTAATTCTTTAAAAAACTTACTCAAACTAATCAAATTAAATATTAATTATCCTTGTTCTTACTCAGGAAAGCTCTTTGAGTCAGTGGAATTTAATTAAGGAGAGAATAACAAAACAGTTTAGTCCTAGTAGCTAGAATTTATATAGTGTTTTAAAGTTTTCAAAATGCTTTTCAAAAATTATCTCATTTTATCTTTATCCTCACAGCAGCCCTGGCACAGTTAGGTGTTATTATCATCACCATTTTATAGATGAAGAAACTGAGGCTAAGGGAGGTAAAATGACTTGTCCAGGGTCATACAGCTAATATGAGGGGCTAAGGCTAGATCTGAATTTATGTCTTCCTGCATCAGATCCAGTACACTATTCATTGTGCCACCAAGTAAGTTTCTAAATGGTTCTTCTTTTAAAAAAGTGATTTCCCATTCGTTGGCATCAATTCAATTAGTCTTCTAGGATATGAGAGGTAGAGTGGAGTAGTGAATAAAAGGTAACCCTGAGAGTCAGAAAAACTCAGAATCAAGTCCCACTTCTGAGACATACTGGCTGTATGACTCTGTGCAAATCACTGAACCCCTTAGTGCCTGCCCTACACAGCTCTCTGTGATTATAAATAGCAGAGCAGGTATGGCTGTGCTTTGGTAGAAAGGGAGTTTTCTCACTAGGAATTACCTATACCAATGATCTCAAAGGTAAAAGTGTTCCAAAGACAGAGTTTTCTTTGATTGAAAATGTTTCAAATAGATATGTTTTGTGAGATGCTGGGCAAATCACTTCAAAGTTTCCTCAACTGTAAAATGAGACTTGAATTAGATGACCTTTAATTTCTCTTGCAACTGTAGATCTCAGATCTGTTGACCAAACTAAAGAGGCTAGTTTCCATATCCAATAACTTTATCAAAAGAAAGCGATTCTCTCATATATTTGGATGAAATCGTTTGGTGAATTGGAAATATATTTGTTAGGCAGAATTTTAGTTTCTTGTTTCATGATCATCAACTAAGCAAAGTCATCCCAAGGACATTTAAGGATGAACAAAGGAGGACAAATAGGAAAAAATGGAAAAGATCTATAAATATTTTTAGTAACAATTTTTCCCTTCAAAAACAGCAGAACCTCCACACTGACTCTTAACACTACATTCCTAGATTTGCTTTTAGAGGAGGTAGAAATAACAAAAGTGGACAAAGTCAGAGAAATCTGCCAGACTCGATCATAGAGGAAATCTGCGCTGTAGGAAACATGATTGTGGGGTAATGATGGATCTGTTTACATGGTATCTGAAAGGGGGAATATACCAATGGCATGAGAAAAAAAACTCATATCTTATTAATATTTTAAAAGACCAGCCAAAAGAACATCAGCAACAACCTACCTGTGTGTATGTATATGTATTTATTTTTATGTGTGTATGTATATATATACATATATATGTATATATATACATATATGTATATTTGTAAGAAAATAATCTGTACATCCTTTGAAGGCATCTTCAGTGAGAGTGTTGGTAAGCAATGTGCTGGCTTTCCCAAGTCATTACACAGTTTTGTCAACTCCGTGTAGAGAATGTAAGATCTCACTACATTTTTTTTACATATTATAAAACAGCATTTGCTTCTGCAGAGCAAAACATTACCTTGAAGCATATTTTCCAAGAAGTATCCCTGTATCAATTCATATTAAAATTCCTTGAAAGCTATAATAACAGACACAACCTTGTTCAACTCTCTAATCATAAATATAAGGCTAGGAGATGGTGGGTGGCACAGTGGATAGAGCCTGGACCTTGAGTCAGATGGACCTGAATTCAAATCAAGCCTCACACATTTTCTAGCTGTGCAACTCTGGACAAGTCACTTAACTTCTCTCTGCCTCAGTTTCCTCAGTTGTAAAGTGGGGATAATAATAGCACCTACCTCCCAGAATTGTTATGAGGATCAAATAAGATATTTGTAAAGTGCTTAGTACAATGTCTGGCACATAGTAGGTATTTTAATAAATGCTTGTTTCCTTCCTTTTTTCTTACTCACCAAAAGTGCTTTCCACTCTCATGGAGGAAGCCCAGGTCAGGTTCCAAGTTGAAACATGATTCCTATAGATCAGGGTTTCTTAACCTGGGATCTGTTAAGTTGGATTATGAATATTTTGATAACCACATTTCAATATAATTGGTTTCCTGTGCAATCCTATATATTTTTATTTATGCATTTAAAAATAATGTTCTGAGAAGGGGTCCATAAGCTTTGCCAGATGGCCAAGAGGGGTCCATGGCATGCAAAAAAAGGTTAAGAACCACTGCTGTAGGTGGTGGGGTCCTCCAGATCCTCCAGATTCTCCTCTTTACAGATAGCTTCATCTTATTTTTGTTGAGTGGCGTACTGTATAGAGCACTGGATTTGGATTCAGGAAGACATGAGTTCAAATCCTACTTAAGACTTTTAATAACTATCACTAGGTAAGACATTTAACCTTTCTGGGTCTCAGTTCCCTCATCTGTAAAATGAGGATAATAATAGCACCAACCCCATAGTTGTTATGAGAATCAACTAAGAATGTGTAAAGCACCTACAAGCCTAAAAGTAATGTATAAATGCTTATTATTTATTAAATATCAATAGACACTCTAGAAAAAAATCTGTGATCACTCAAAAGAGTTTGGTGCAACCATTCACACAAGAAAATCCAAGTGGATGAAACACGCCTATTGTTTAGATTACAACATAGTGTTATAATGGATAAACTATACAGAGTTCATCCGTGTGTGTGTGTGTGTGTGTGTATGTGTATGTGTGTGTGTACATCTGTATGTATATCTCAACAGACAATGTAAATGGATAATGAGTTGAGTCTAGAATAAATGAGAAGAAGGAAAATTAACTTGATTGTTTTTAGGGAAGCTCTTTCAATAACCCCAAACTTCTACCAGAAACAGACCAACTTTTTGAATACTAAAATTCTACTGGTATTATTGTATGATTGTGGCTCATGGAACATTCCAGTCTGGAAAAATAAAAATGGGTATAATTTGGGGGCTCCATGAAGAGATACATTGTGGCTGTGAGCAGGCTGCCATACATCCCAAACAACATAATGTTACCATCAGGGAAATATATAATGAGAAAAAAGATATACCAGGCATGTGGGAAAGTCCAGTAGTGACCAGTTACCAGCTTATTGATATCCTCCCAGTATCAGCAGGAAGTGAGGAACATTAGGTGGGAACCCCCTTTAGTAAACTTATGGTAGACCTGGGCATGAGTCCCATGGTCTGGATGAATAGCCATCTGGTTGGAAGCAACATCAAAATTGATGAGATAATGGATCCATTTTAATATTTATTTCATAGTCACTTAATGGCTTCTGTAAATGTTACAATTAAGTTTATAGAAATGTAGAAGGAAGGAAAAGTGTTGAGAATAAAAGTGTGTATTCCTCTATTCACAGAAAGCAGAAAATGGAGATTTAAACTGGATAATACCAGGCCGATTTATTGCCTTCTGTGGCCCTCACCCAAGAAGCCGACTTGAAAGTGGTATGCCAGAAAATGGAAATAAATCTTCTTGAGAAGTTGAATGAGCACATTGTACTTTTCTGGATGCCAATCCATTTGTGTGTTGTTCGAGGGAAATAGAAATCTGAACTAAGCCCTGAATTTAGTTATATAAGCTATGCTTTTGAAAATCAGTCATTTGAGTGTGACTTTCTTGTTTTATAATGATAACTCATTTTGTTTTTTATTCTATTATTAAAAAAAAAGCCTCAGATCTGGTGTAGTGTTAGACTTGGAATCAGGAAAACCTGCTGTTAGATTCTACCTCAAAAGATTTACTAGCTGTATGGCCCTGGGCATGTCTCTTAACTTCTTTGGGCCAATTTCCTCATCTGTAAAATGAGAAGGTTAGACTTAATGACCTGTGAGAAAGGGTAGGGTGGGGGGAGGGAGGAAGGGAGAGAGAAGGAGGTCTTTTGTTATCTCTACTTGTCTCTACTATAAAAAAGCATTCTAGAAGACAGTCGCTTTTCATATAAAACCAAAATAACTTTTAGTCTGTCTTAATATTGTTCAAAGAAAAATGTTTTCTTTTATTCTCCATAGGTTACCACTATCATACACCTGAAGCCTATGTTCCATATTTTAAAAGGCACAATGTTACCACCATTATCAGACTCAACAAAAAAGCGTATGATGCCAGGAGATTTACAGAGGCTGGTTTTGACCATCATGAACTTTTTTTTGCTGATGGCAGCATACCTAGTGATGCCATAGTGAAAGAATTTCTGAACATCTGTGAAAATGCTGAGGGTGTTATAGCAGTTCATTGCAAAGGTATATTTATTTTATTGACCAAAAATGCTTATCAGTGCTTGGAATTCTTTCTGTACTTATATAAATATAGTAAGTAGTAGACTGTAAGTTCCTTGAGGATTTGGACTGTTTTCTCCCACACAGTTTATGGCTCTAGGTCCAGCTGATTAATACTTTGTATTTTTGATGCAGGTGTCCAGACCTATGATTTCATTGGCATAAGGTAGCTCAATCTAACAAGTACAATGAAATCTCTTTGAAAAGCCAAACCCTTCACTTGTATCCTTGATCTCATTCCTCTCTTCTGTTATCCATAGTCCCAGCTATCATCTACTCCATCCCTTCCTTCCTCCCCCTTTTTTCTTTCTCTTCTCACCTCTTCCTCCTCACCCCCACATCTTTGATCTTTTGTCTTCATTCTCTGATGCCTACAAATTTTAATTTTTTCCTATTCTTTGACAAGCATCAACAAAAATCAACATTCCCTACACAAGGTAAAACAGGAGAATTGTAGATCATATTTGTAAAATGTTTCTCAAACCTTAAAGCACTATATAGATGTTATTCTGCAAAGATCTGTTAAATATGAGGGATTTTAAAGAATATGTAAATAAATTCACATTAGTTCTAAAGTTTCCTGCTTGTTGATATCTGTCTCAGTTTCTCTTCCTTATATTTAGAAAATTTGTCACTAGTAATATATTTTTCTTTTCTTATTTTTTGACAACTCTATTCCCCTGCACTACCTTTCCATATTTCCTACCTTATGACAGATAACAGTCATTCAGGACAGGTATACACATTGGCCGTATCTGAAAATGTATGGGTATGGCTCAGGTAGTCTCTCACCTCTCTTAGGATGTGGGAAGCATGCTTCATCTTTATTCTTCTTACTTAAGTGTGAGGCTTTAGAAAACTGACTGGACAGAGTCATTATCTTCAACTTGTTTTGGGCTCTGGGGAAGGATAGCAGGCATGCTGGGTTATGTGCTGGAACTGAATGGGATTCAGGCACAAACCTGTGATTCAGTTTGGATCCCTCCAGTGGGAACATGGAGGCCATTACAATGTGAGTGCTTTGAGGATTAATGTTTCCTGGTGTTAATTCTTAATAATTTTAAGTTAACAGGTTTCTCTCTTATTAGACCTGTTGGTTCAGCTGTAGTTCCATAGTTGTGTGGCACCGAGTACCTTTATTTCCTTAAGGTTTGGTGAGTTAAAGGCTCTAAAGAACATGTAATCTTGCCGGTCGTGTGACCTAGTTATTGTTATTAAGTCCTAGTTACAGTTTTTAAAGAGCAGAAAGCAAGGAATATTTCACATGAAAAATATCAGTGTGTTATGTCAGTAACAGTAATTATTAGAATAAGTAATAGAGCATTAGTCTTAAAAGCTGTTACCCAGGCTTGACTAACCCATGATGAACTTTAGCCACAAATTTGAAGCTCCACATTATGTAAAAACAAATCCATCCACTATTGAAATTGTCCAACTTTTCCAGTAAGTTGAAAATGGCTATAAAACAGTGCCCCATAAATCCTAGGCACCAGGTTGTCTTACGAATAGCCATTTCATAATAAGAACTAATATTTTCATTATAATCTTGCTCAAATACGTAGCATTATGCTTTATGCTTTCCATGCGTTCATATCCAGGATTTATCATAGCAACTGAAGAGTGGTAGTCCATAGCTTAACATTGGACCACTTGGTGCAGATAGTAATGGACATCTGACTTGAGGGAAGTTTTCAGAATTTGCAGCTGTCGTTGTACCTTTCAGCTCCTTGGACCCAATCCAAAAGAAAAAGAAAGGAGTAATTAATAGTGTAAATGAAAGGAGGAGCCAGATCCTTTGGTATATATGTGGCTTAGGAAGTATCCTAGCCAGATATAGTTACTTCTGTGAGACTTTCCAGACATTGGATAGACCATCTAACAGATCATCAGTATCTTTAATTTGGATTTTGAACTGAGGATAGAAACCTCACCCTTTTCTCCTTGAAAGTTGAAAAAAAAAGCCATTAGGCACTTGATCCTAGGTGTAGAGACAGATAACGAAACCATTTAATGAGCTTCCTACATACAGCAAATTTGTATGGGACTTGACCACTTTCACTTATTAATGTATCACTGAAACACAGTCCGCCATTGAAATCACTGTTGTATAATGCTTTATTCTTCTGAATGCTACACTAAGGGTTTGCTGCAATTTCTTATTAACAAGTATGTCATCTTTTTAATTTAGCATAAGTAAAATTGATTAATTGACAAGGCAGATGAGTGACACAGGGTAAAACATAGACTCTGGAATTTGGAAAGCCTGGTTTCAAATCCTGCCTTAGACATTTATTAGTTGTGTGATCCTGGGCAAGTCACAAGCTTCTGTGTGCCTCAGTTTCCTCAACTGAAAAATGAGGATAAATAATAATACCTACCTTATAGCACCTACCTTATAGGATTGTTGTGAGGATGAGGTAATCATTTTTTACAAAGTGCAAATCTATAGATGCTAGCTATTAATTATTTAATGAAATGGAGAAAGTTCTTTTCTCGATAGTAATTACTCTTAATAATAAACATAAAGATATATTATTATTTACAATTTTTGCCTATGACTGTTGTTACAGCCTGATTTACCACGAACCATCAGTATAACAAACAGTAGTTGATTCCTCTTAATTATCCTCATTTTTTTTAAAGTCATGCCACAGTTTAATGTAGTTCCATGAAAGAAAAATTTTCTTCTCCTCTTCTTCCTGTTTGTATTCAATTTTTCTTCAGGAATGACAGTAAACAATCTTAGCTTCTTTTTGTATAATTTCACTTATAAGCTTTTCTTTGTAAGATTATTTCCTAAAACAACACTGAAGACAGTTTTTCCAAGAAGGACATCCATTCTCGCCTTCATGTATCACAAGTAAAACAATACCTTTGTTCTGCCACCATAGGAAAAGTACTTTACATAGAGCTAAATTCTCAACTGATTCTATAATAAGACATTTCTGAACTGTCAGTTTCTAAAGTGTCAGGACAAAACTGCTTTCCCCCCAGTATTTTTTGAGCACTTAAAGTTACAGTAATGTTTTCTCTAGCTTCTATAAGAGATTCAATTGAAACAAGGGTTACAAAAGCAAATCTATAATGCCTTTCTGGGAAAAATAAAAAACAACTTCCTTTCAATGGAAGAGCCTATACTTGGCTAATCCTTTTCTTAAAACAAAAAATTGTATGAAGTTCACAAAACCATGTAGTGTGTTTCTTTTCTTAGCTGGCCTTGGACGGACAGGCACCCTTATAGCCTGCTATATCATAAAGCATTATAGAATGACGGTTCCTGAAACCATTGCCTGGATCAGAATCTGTAGACCTGGCTCTGTGATTGGACCTCAGCAACATTTTTTGGTGTCGTAAGTAAAAATTCCTTAGTTATCTGTGTGACATGGAGGTAACCATTGGTTCTCAAATTAAAGTGCAAGTCCTGGTAGATTCTAACAAGCAGAAAAAAATTTCTAGTGATTTTCTGGTGGCAAACTGTAGGTCTGGACTTTAAGGACTGACCTTGTTAAATTCAGGAGAGTCTTGTTGCTAGGTTGATGAATGTTTTGATTATAGCAACAATCAGAGACCATATTGAAGTGGTTGCCTTTGGTGTCCACAAAGGGTGGGAGTACTCCCATTTATGGCATCACAGATGCTTGAAGGATTAAAAAATACTAAGATTTACATAGTGCCTACTGTGTGCCAGGTATTGTGCTAAGTGCTTTACAATTATTATCTCTTTTGAGCCTCACAACAACCCTGAAAGATAGGTGCTATTATCTCCATATTACAGATGGGGAATCTGAAGCAAATGGGTTAAGTTACTTGCCCAGCGTCACATAGCTACTGAATGTCTGAGACCAGATTTGAAGTCAGGTCTTCCTGACTTTCAGGCCTGGTGATTTATTTACTGCTCCACCTAGCTGCCTCAGACTTGACTCCTCAGAACCCATCTTTCCTCTTCTATATTCCTGGGCATATGTGTTTAATAGAACTACCAACTAAGAAGGCAGACCAGGAGCTATTGCTGAATGGTCTTTTCTTGCTCCCAGGAAATCAATGGTAGACACAATATTAGTTTTGGAAGGGTGAGAAATAGTAGATTCAGACTTCAAAGCATCGACAGAGAAGAGTGCCAGAGCATTGGCCCATTTCTGGAAAAAGTCATGACGTTATTTCACTTCTTTAGGAAGCAGGCAAGCCTTTGGACAGAAGGAGACTATTACCGTAAGAAGTTAAGGGATCAGGAAAATGGAAGACATGCAGCTGCAGTCACGAAAATCCTAACAGGGGTCGATGACATTTCAATAAGTGAAATCCAATGTGAAGAAACAAAAGATTCTGAATCGGTAATCGCTTCAAAATCCTGCTGTGTTGTTTTGGTTAGATGTTTTTGTCAGTTGTTTTGCTGCTGTTCAAAATCTTTTAGAGTGTGGAGAGACTGCGGTTGAAAATAAAGCCAAGTTGTGAGGGATTATTGTCCACATTTTTTTTCATTTTTTATATCCCTCTTCAGATGCTTTTTTTCCCCTCCGAAAGCCTTGAGAGTTAGTCACAAAAAAGGTTGGGTGACTGTTAGGTTAAAGTCCTTTTCACACCTAGGCAAAGATTGAAACAGCAATGAGGTAGGTGAAATGGTTTTTCAGGTGGTCCTCATTATGTTTTTTCAGTATTTTTTTCCTCTCCGTATCTGTTAATAAGCAGCTGGTTTAGTTCAAAATGAGAACCTGAGGTACAAGGGCTTCTGTTTTGTTGTTTGTTTTGATTGGGTGGGGGTGGGGGTCATTGCACATCTAAATAGTGTTAACATGCTTGGGAATAAAAATGTTTTCTCTCATTTTCTCATTATATATATATAGATAGATAGATAGATAGATAGATAGATAGATAGATAGATAGATATAGATATACATATAGGTATATGCACAGATATATACATGTACATATAAAAACACATATATGCATGTATGTATTTTAAATCATATCTATTTAGTGTTTATATGTGTAATAATAGCATTGTTGGGTTACAATAATCACAGGTTATTATTGGAAACAATCCAACAGATTTCTTGAAATTCACTGGTCATTTTATTCTAAAGTGAGAAGACATTTTAAAAGTTTAAGTACAAATTTGAAATATACCTTCACACTGTGTCAGAAAGTAACTGTTGATCTTTGCTGCAATTAAAGATGCAACTTAAAATCATTAGCTCAGTGTTTTTTTACTTATACAGTACAGTGATGATGGTGATGAAATAAATGGAATGACACAAGGTGATAAGCTACTTGCTCTGAAAAGTAGAAGAAGGGCAAAATCAGCTACTTCAATTCCTCTAACGTAAGTCTTTTTTTTTTGGTTGGTTTTGTTTTTGTTTGTTGTTTTGTGTTTTTTTGCATATGCAAAGTGTGTTCTCTTTTCAGGTTTTTCCTTCAATGCCATTTTAAAGTTTCAGGTATATCATTGCATTTCAGAACAGTTTATAAATGCTGTTTTAAAAAATGGTAGTAGAGGTTGCCAATATCTATATATGTATAAAGTATTATACCTCATTTGTTTTTCTGTTTCCAGGGTATTTCCATGGGGCTCCACCAAGCTTCCTGAAATCCTGGATAATTGGTCACTCTGTATCCATATTTCCTTTTAACTTTGTATGGATTTGTGTGTGTGTGTGTGTGTGTGTGTGTGTGTGTGTGTGTGTGTGTGCGCGCACGCGCTAAAGCTGCAAAAAGCCTATATTTTGAGGAGACAGAATTTAGTCAGCTGAGACACAGAGTTATTAGTATTCTTGTCTAATTATAGGGAAATAATTAATTGATTAAACTTAGTGAAATTTTGCATATGCACATAAAATTCCTCTCAGAGAAATTACTTGCAGAATCACAGAGAAGATTCTACCATTGGTAAGGGAAGGAGGCAATTTTGGTTGTTGTACTGATGTTTTGTGCAAGCCTGTAAGTTACATTGTTCAGAGCTTCTGGTATGGCAGAAAAATAGTGGCAGAGTTCTTCCTTCCCAAAGCAATATAAGAACACAGTACCAAGTATTGTGCTTGCCTGGAAAGTAAAAGATGAAAGTAAATTAGCTTGAAGTCTGGATATCTTAACCTAGTAGGCCATCTCTGATCTTATTGGGGTCCTACTACTTTTTGAGCTCTCCAAGCTAAACAGTTAGTGCTTGTGGTAACTAGAGAGTGGAGAGATGTCCAAGACCCTCAAGGATGCCCCCCAAAACATACAAGCTGTATAGTTTTTATAGTTTTTCCTTTCTCATTTTTTAAATCCCCATAGTATTCTCTCTCTCTTTTTTTAAAGACTTCACATCAACTAGCTATAGATACAAATGAATCAAGTTTTTCTTAATATTGGTTACATGTTGATGTTCACACTAGAAAGTAGCTCTTTCTAAAGTAGAATTCTTTATTAGACATCTCTGCCTTTGCTACTATCCAAGTAATTACCAGAAATATTTCCCTATCATGCCATTTCACCAATAATGCCCTATGGATCTCAAGAGTAACCTTACAGTGAAGCTTCTGGATAGCCATTAATACTAATCAAGCAGCCATTTCCTACACAACACAGTAAAACCTCAGTTAACTAGAACACTTGGGAATGGTGTATTTGGGGAAATTAAATTTTCTGATTAATTTCTAGTTAGCTCTAAAAACCTTTTTTCTTTCAACTCTTATTGAAAATGTTTTTAGATGTTAATTATTACTTTATTGCTCCTGGCATTAATTACTTTAGGGATTAATGCTTTGGTGTGTGTTCTTTCTGCACTGATACTAATTGAAACCTCTCTCTAATATACTAGACAGTCCTTGAGAATAGCTGTGGCCAAAAATGCCATCATCTTACAGCCAATCTGATGATGAATTTCCAAACATAGCTAGTGTTGGTTCTTAGATAATGACTTCTATTTCCTCACTAGGTTTATACTTAGATCCTTTGTAGCATAGTAGGTCTTCTCTCCCCCAAAGTTTTGAGTGGCTAGCATAGGCTTTGAGAACCCAAAATCACCTCCACACTATAGTGAGGCATCTGAGGAGGATTTCAGTGGAGTATAAAATATTGCAGATGAAACATAATTGAATCCTGGATGATTTTAAGGTCTCACACTGCCTCAAGTAGACCATTATTGGCCTTGTTTTGATGGTACAGGTGGGGGAAGAATATGAAACTAAACAGAACCTGTGCTTATCCCAGGACATACCCAATTTTTATTTTTTTTAGATGAGTCTGTTGTTCTTGAGTTGTTCTTGAGATTAGCCCTTTTCTTTTTAAAGTCAAACTCTGAGAAGGAGAAATAAGATCTGTTTAATAGAGAGTTCCAGTTAGGTACCAGTTACTCAGGATTTTCTGAGACCCTGAATTCAATTGTACTCATTTTTCCCTACAAGAGTTCAAACTGTCTAAAAACATATAAGGTTTGAAATATTTACTTCCTTCTGTACCAAAGGCTGCAGGTGGAGACAGAAGACAGTCTTGTGATGGCAGAGTTGTGTGATGAAGTAAAAGAGGCGTCACTGAGTGAAAATAAAAATGAACTGTGTGAACATTATCAAAAGCCTTTATTTGAAGATTATGTATGGTCTGCAGTGGTCAGGTTCTTTTTGATTGAATGTGTGTGTAGTTCCCCAGGCTCACAATGGAATAGAATATGTAATGGGATAGCAGGAAGCAAACAAGCAAAAACAGAAGAAAAATATTGAACAAAACCAATAACCTGTTACTTTCCCTTTTGCCAATCTGAGCATCTGCCTCCATCTAAACACCACCTAACCCTTACTTTACCTAGACATCTTTGGGCTTGTCTAACTTACATGCTTTAGAGAAATAAATAATGAATAGGTTCAAACCTCTCTTTTATTGATTCCCTATCCATACTTGCAAAGCCCCAGTGCTATCAGGGGATCCCTAATTCAGTTATAGGTATTAGGTTAAGCTATTTCATTTTGTTTGGGGAAACTGAATTCAAATGATGGTATACAGATTAGATTGTAAATTCCTAGAAGTTAAGAACTGTGAAACTGTTTTTTTCTTTGTTTTTGGTTGTTTTTTTGTTTGCATCTCCTACAATAGCCAGCACAGTCTTCTGTGTGCAGTAGAGATTCCATAAATATTTGTTGAGTGAATAAAGTTTTAAACCTGGTTTTCAGAAGGAAACAAAAAAGCAAAATTATAAAATACTCTTAAGCCCTTGGTTATTCTTTGTGGGTGTTCCACGTCTCGGATTACCTAGAACAAATCTTGCTTTCTACCTTCTCGCAACATTATAATCTCCTGCTTATTTAGCTTCTTTATTTCCATTATAACCATCTCTTTGTTTTCTTGTTCTGAGGGGAGCCCCATTGAAATTAGGAGGAAGGCTTGAGATGCCCTTAACAATAAATTTTAGCTAGCAGTAAAGTCCTTTTTAAACAAACAAACAGAATGAATATCATTCTGCTGAGGCAATGTGGAGCCCTGAATTGAGAATCAGGTTAAGTTCATTAACTCTGCCGTTAACTGGACATATCACTATGGGCAAGTCTCTTAGTCTCTATGTTACTTTTATTTGGCCTATATTATTTTTATTAGAGCCATTTAAGTTAACTGTGGGTTACCGAAAAATGGACCAACCCTTCCTGAGAGTTTCCAGACCAATATGTTGTGAGGCCACATGCCACATGCCACACAAGTACACAGAGTTGCTGTGATTTAATTTATGTTACTGTGGACCTCGGTTTCTTTTTCTATAAAATGAGGGGTTTCACTAGATGACTTCTAGGCTTCATCTCCAAGTCTGTGTTGATGCTCTGTGGAAATTGCCTCTGCTAGGATGAAGTGCCACTTTTCTGATCAATCAGGCTACTCTGTGTGAGACACTGTGCTAGGTGCTGAGGATACAGAGGAAAAAAAAACATTTTCTCTCCTAAAATAGCTTATCATCTGTTGGGAAGGATAATATATACATATATAACTGTGTGAAAAATAAATACACAACAGTTTGAGGGGAAAAGGGCACTAGCAACTGGAGGAACCAAGAAAGTCATCATGTAAAAGGTGACACTTGAACTGAGCCTTGAAGGAAACTAGGGAACATGAAGGGGATTGATGCATAGAATAAGGCCAGAAAGTTAGGTAGAAATGTCCTAGAGAGTTGTTGAGGCATTTAGGGATTAAGTGACTTGCTCAGGGTTACATAGCTAGTAAATGTCAGGCAGGATTTGAACGCAGATCTTCTTTAATCCAGGTTCAGCCCTTTGTCCATTATACCATGCTTTTTCTCTAGGTTGAGAATGCTCAGGCTGAAAAGAGGTCTTTAGCTTGTGTTAAAAACTATTCAGAAGGGGAAAAAAAATTAAAGAAACAAAATTATATTAGATGCTCATAAGGGATCATAAACTAAGGAAAACTAAAATGAAAATTTTGAAAAGGAAACTGTTTTCTTCGTATCATAATGTCTGAAGTGTGTATGCTTGTATAATGTTACCAAAAGTGCTATGTTTTTTGCTCCTAGTACACACACACACAAGTTATATAAAAAGCAGATGAACAGTATTTTGTCTGTGTGTGGTTTATGAAATCAGTCTCACTAGTATAGACGCAACACATAACCTGATAGTACCGTAGCACAATAATAACATTTTAAATGATCTGCCTTCGAACATCATCAATGGCTGTGTTGCTGTGATCTTCTATAGTTAAACTTTTTTCATCTTCTTTTTCTGGCAGGGAATGTTGGTGAGGAAGGGAGTTAAGAGCCTGGAATTTCAGTTGTTTAACTATCCTGAAATTAGAATCAATGTCATTATAAAATAGAATTAGTTAACACAATTTTCCCAGTTAGAAATTAGTTTTTGACTGTCAAAAAACCAAAACAAAAGCATGCTATGGTTCAAGCTGAAGAGCAGTGTCATTGAGTGACATCATTATTGGATTCATACCTCATTTCTGTACCATTCATCTCTCTCCTACATTAAGTGTGCTTTCTCTGAGTTTTATTTTTTTCTTCTAACCTCTGAAAATTAGTCTACTTCTCCTTTTTACATTGGCTCCAAATAAAATGATAAAATTATTTTTTCATAAGACTTGTCAAAATCCCATTTAGCTTTTATTTTTTACATTACTTTCCCCAAACTTCCATGGGGCTAAGATTCAACTTCAGCTTACTTTTTTTGTTTTTGTTTCCCAATTTGAACGTTTGTTCTTTTCCTCCCCCATCCCTTTCTAGATGTATCCTAGCTGTGCTGACCTCTGCACTATGTAGTATGGTCATCTGGTGGATTGTTTGTGACTGCATTCTTCCCATCCTGCTATTCTGTCTAGATGGTTTAAGAACCTAGTAACCATCAG